AAAAAAAAAAAAAAAAAAAAAAAAAAAAAAAAAAAAAAAAAAATCAGTAGCTTTGATAATGAATGTGGATTACTAATTGTAAAGATAAACTTTTACTTGTCTGGTAAGCATTCTGAAATATCTTTGAAAATAGAAGCAATGTATGCAGGAGACAAAATTAATGAAGTTGCGTCCTCTCCTTTTATATAAATTGCAATGATTATAATATATTTAGAGATTCTCCAAAGAACTCTAAAAGGTTAGTGAGCATTGGCTTGATTTCTTTAGGAATAAGGGGAGCAAAATTCTCTGTGTAAGTTAGGTGCTTGCTCACATTAAGCAAATTAACTCTCATTGGAAATAGAGGAACTATTGAAATCCTGGGAAAGACCAACTTAACCTGATTAAAAGTAAAGACTCTTTTGCCTTTCCTCAGTGAAAGTATTAAAAACTATTTTAAAATGTTGATAATCATTAGCAGCCATCTCTAGAAAGTCTGTGGTAAAAGATCATAGGCCTCAGTTGCCTCATCTTTCCTATTTCAGAGAAAATTCTAAGCTCCTGTGAGTTAGGAAAGTACACTGTGAGAGTCCCGTAGATGGCAGTGTTTGCTTTACTCTGAAAATGTTTTCACAGGTCATCATCAAGAATATGGGCTGGAATCTTGTTGGTCCTGTTGTTCGATGGCTTTTATCAAATAAAGAAGATGATAAAAGAAAAGATTATTTTTTGATGCTTGATTTATTGGTAAAGGTAAGTTAACAAAACTAGGTTCTCTTTGTCATAAAATGCAGCAGTATTTTATAATTCCTTTTAATGTTTAATGCTTATTGCTTGGTAGGAAAGTTTTTAGTTCATGAAAATACATACATACAGAAATCATTGGAGAAAAGGCCCAGTATTGTTGATTGGATGGGCAATGAATCCCATTTCAGCATTTCTCAAATTTTCTGGTGTATATAAGAATTATCTAACCTCATGTCAGACCCACTGATTCAGAATCTCCAGGGAGATTCTGGGAAGCTCTGTTTAAACAAGTAGCCTTATTGTATAGATGTGGAATTTAAAGTTTAGAGAGGTAGTTCAAGGCTACACCGATCTTTTGGCTACTTTGGAACTAGAATCAAATCTCAGTGTTCTTTCCTCTATGGTATGTTTCCTAAAAATATAAAAAAACCTGGAATGCAAGTGATCACAACAGAAGTAGGAATAGGAAGTAGGATAAAGATCAGTTGTGACTGACAACCTTAGAATGAGGTTAGGAGTTAAAAGTTAATATGTGATGACTAAGAAAGATAAATTCTGAGAAAAAGGACATTATAAGAAACTATTTGGAGATGAGTAGAAATACAAGTATACGCAAGTATATGTAAGTATATACAAATACAAGTATACACAAATTTCTTGGAAAGAAAGAACTCCATCTAGATATGAGTTGTTTTTTATGATGGCTTTTAAAAAACCCAGGCAAGTGAGGTAATAAGACAGGGCCAATCAGAAAGGAGTGCAAAGTTTTATCTGTTCAGGAAGGGACGGCGGACTAATCTAAATACCCTAGCAGCGTGAGATAGAAAGCTCCCACCTGCTGGAAGCCCTGGAAATCTATTAAGATGGCCTTCAGAGTAGACAGATGAAGCTCAAAAGAACCTGAGCTCTGGCGATCAGGTTCTTCCTTTCCCTTATTCTCTAATTTTTCCTTTAGCCAGGAACTTAAGTCTCTAAAATGTAGTTGTCCATTAAAAGACCCTTTGACTTCTTGCTTCTTTTTAGTTTTATAGTGATTTGACCATCACAGATTCTATGTTTTGTTAGTGCATAATTTTTCTAAACAGTTGATGAGGTGTTTTACTGTTAAGCAAGAATAATTATATTTTCTCAGTATATGCCATTTTAAAAATAGTAATCATGTGGCTTTAAATACAACTTGTATTAAACAGGTTCAATTGTGAATATTTTTATAGTTATGTAATCCAAAGGAATTATTGCTGGGTTTGCTTGAACTGATTGAAGAGCCCTCTGGAAAACAGATATCCCAAATTATTCTTCTTTTACTTCAGCCATTGCGAACAGGTAATGAACATTTTGATATCAAGGTATTTCTTATTTTATCTGTAAGTGCCTTGATGTTTATCCCAAAATGTCAACACTACACCAAAGTAAAGTTTATGACTAATGATCAAGTAGTCTGCTTAAACTAGTAATAGCAATGCCAATTTGAATCCCACTGCTCATAGAAAGATGACAGTACATGGCATAGAGTGGGTATCTGGTAAATATTTTGCCGAGTGTCATACTATTTTTCGTGTGCTATCTTGTAACCTATAGCTTTTTGCCTAATCTTCCTACCTGCAGCTTAAATCTTGAATTTTCTGCCTGAACATATTTAAAGGATTACCTCTGTGGTGTCTGAGTACTCAGTTTAATAACATTGTGGTATTCCTGTATCTTGATTAACAAGAGTATGAGGCAGGGCATTGCTCAGCCTCTGCATTTGGGAGAATAGCAAAGGTACTGCTGAAGAATGAAACTAGGAATATAGGAATGATAAGACACCCTGCTTAGTGCAGTAACAGTATCAGTGAATAATGGCAACCAAGACAAATGGTATTTATCCATGGGAAGAGGATATTTTTCATCTTAGGAAATGCATGTATCTGAGAGTCTTATAGAAAGAGTCAGAAGTTAGAGTAAATTTGTTTTAAATATGAATGTTTACCAGCTTTGTGCCACTTGAAATATTCAAAGTGTACTAGAAAAAAATCTGATAATACTACCTCTCATTTGTACAGTGCTTTATAGTTTACAAGACATTCTTGTATTTTGTGCTTATAACAACTAAAAAATATGGAAAGAATGTTTCTGTCTTAAGTATGTAGCCTGTTATAAACATATCTAAACAAGATTTCATGACGTCTACTGAAAAATGCCACAATTTCAAGATGCTATGTTATTTTTTTGCCTCACTAAGAAGGAAAAAACATTGCCAATTAAGTTATGCTATGTCATCCTGATTTCAGAGTTGTTAAAATGTGTGTGTGTGTGTCAGGGGAGGGAGGTGTCTTATAATTCTACATTTATTTAATTTGTTAGCCCCTGTTTAACATGCTTGATGAGGCTACCTTAAATAACAACTTGGTCTCTGTTTTGTTTTAGTGATTCAGAAACTTCATAACAAGGCATATTCAGTTGGATTAGCATTGTCTACCCTTTGGAGTAGGGTATCTCTTCTTCCAGTTCCATACTCAAAAGAACAAATAGAAACAGATGACTATGGCCTTTGTCAATGTTGCAAGGCCTTAATAGAGTTTACGAAGCCTTTTGTGGAAGAAGTCATTGATAACAAAGAAACCTCACTGGAAAATGAAAATGAAAAGCTAAAGGATGAATTACTGAAATTGTAAGTATATATATATATTTTTTTCCTTTTTGTCTTTTTTCGTGACCGGCAACGGATCGCAGCCCTCAGTGTCGCGCCCATACCGGACCGGGACCGGCAACGGGATCGCAACCCTCGGTGTTGCGCCCGCACCTCGCTCAGCCAGTGAGCTGCCGGTCTGTATGTGGGATCCAAACCTTCGACGGGAGCGCCGCCGCACTCCCAAGCGGCGCACTGTAGCAGTGCGCCACCGGGCCGGCCCATAAGTATATTTTTAAGAATATCTCACAATGGACTTAAGTAATTGATAGTTCAGTTATTTTATGTTTGTTTGCCTTATTTGTTTGCCATGTAAATATAAATCTAGTTTTATATCTTGAATTTTAGAAGATTATGGGGTTCAACTGACACAGCATGGGCATTTAATAAGGCATTGATATTTTTAAAAATTGTAAATCCAAAATCCATTCATTTAAAACAGTAGCAGAGTACCTACCCAATAGCATTCTTACCAGGGGTGCTATGGACTAAACATTCATTGTTCAACATGGTTGTCAAGCACTTGACATATGGCTAGTTCAAATTAAAATGTGCCCTAAGTAAAAAATACCCCCTGGATTTTGAAGACTTGTTGTTTAAAAGGAAATAGTAAATACCTCAATAGTTTTTATACTGATAACATGTTGAAATGATAATATTTGAGGTATCCTGGGTTAAGATAAATTATTAAAATTAATTCTCCTGTTTCTTACTACTATTTTCATGTGTCTATTACAAGATTTTAAATTATGGGGCTTGCATTATATTTCTATAGACAGTGCTGGACGAGATTATTAAATTACGTAGACCAATAATTTAAAAAAAAAATTGTTAGCTTTCTATTTTTTCAGGACGTTAAAAAGTTTTACTATTTCTAAAACTCATTATTTCATAAAAGAAAATATATTTTAAGTAAAGAAATAGGAAAAACTTAATCACAGAATAAAGTTTGGTTTTCTAAATAAACCAAATATAGCTTTATGAAAAAAATTACTACATTGTTCTGATTTTTCCTTAAATGAATAAAAATTACATCACGGGCTAGCACTGATCCTCAGAAAAACATTCAGAATCCAATGGAACAGTCCAGACATAGAAGTGAATTTCACCACATTTAATCTAGCAAGGTATTCTCATTTTCTCTCCATTATTAGTAGGTAGGATGTTATATCACCATTTTTTAGGCCCTAGAGTTATTTGTGCTTATCTTAGTCTGTTCGTGCTGCTATAACAGAATACCCAGGACTGGGTAGTTTATAATCAGTAGAAATTTATTGGCTTACCGTTCTGGAGGTTAGAAGGTCCAAGATCAAGGTGCTGGAGAGGGCCTTCTTGCTGTGTCATCACGTGGCTGAAGATGAAAGGGCAAACAGGTAAAAGGAGGTCAAACTTACCTTTCATACCAGCATAATTCCACCAATGAGAACCCTCAAAGGTCACACCTTTTAATACTGTTAAAATGGCAATGAAATTTCAACATAAATTTTGGAAGGGACAAACATCCAAACCATAGGAGTACTTATACTATTTTTCATGTAAAATTAACTTAGATATGAAGAACTAGGCATTTTATACTTGGGAAGTGTTGATTTCATAGTTACCTATTTCTTATGCCTAGTTGTTTCAAATGCTTGAAATGCCCTTTGCTGACAGCACAGTTCCTTGAACAGTCTGAAGAAGATGGAAATGATCCTTTAAGGTGTTTTGCATCTGAAATAATAGTAAGTACACCTAATTTAATATGCTATAATCTAAAATTTTATACTGTTGTATTTCAAGTATTGCATATTGGCATGCAGATTGATACGTTTATTAACTAAGCAATATATATTTTCGTAGAACACAGGTACACAAGAAGATGGAAAATAAAATAGCAATAATTTACTATC